TGTCTGGATGAAAATAGTCTCTCTCTGTGAGTGTGTGTGCGTGTGTGTGTGTGTGTGTGTGTGAGTGTGTGTGTGTGTGTGTGTGTGTGTCTGTGTGTGTGTGTGCGTGTGTGTGTGTGCGCATTAATGTATATTGCATGAGAAGAAAGGAAGTAGTAAGAAAGGTTATTGAAAAATGGGTATTCCAACGTAAAGCGCATTGAGCTACTTTTTTTGGAAATGCGCTATATAAATGTTATATATTATTATATAGAATGACTAATGTATTTCAAATCCATGTGTTGTAGTTGAACTGACAGTGTTGAATTTGAACTCTCTGTTGGTACATTTTGATGTTTGAGCTTCGGGGTGTTACATTTGCTCTCTCTGTTTTGGTGTTTGAACTTTCTTTGTGGAATTTGATTTGATTACGTGAAATAAATTCTGTTATGTTTCATTTGACTTGGATCGTCTGCATCGATATTAGATTGGCCTGGAAACGGCGTAGATGGGTGGAGCTACCTCTGCTTGAAAAGCTTGACAGCATGTTTGTTATTAACAAACTCAAGTCCATTTTTGCCACTCATGGCATCCCAAGGGCAGTTGTGTCCGACAATGGCACTCAATTTTCAAGCCCGAGATTTCGCCAAAGAGTTAGTCTTCATTCCCATTACAAAAAGCTCCCAAAGATACCCACGTCGGTGGCATCGGTGGCCTAGTGGTTAGACTGCAGGTTCGATGGTTCGGGCGTCAGTTCAGTCCCACGTTGTGTCCTTGGGAAAGGCACTTTACACAAATTTCCCATTTGCCTCGGTCCTTTAATCGGAGATGGACGTTAAACTCGGAGGTCCCGCCTCTTAAATAACCCAATAGTCTTGATAGGGGCGTTAAACCTTTTTATACCATTTCACCATTTTCAAGATACCCAAAGAGCAATGGTGAGGCAGAAAGAGTAGTGCAAACGGTGAAACTTCTCCCTAAGAAAGCAAAAGATCCCATGTACTGCCTTCCCGCTACACTGGGCTACCCCGTTACAAAATTTTGGCATGTCCCAAGTGAGCTTCCTAAGAGAAGGAAGCTTCAAACAAAAATTCCCAGCATACAAGACAACTTGTAACCAAATCCTGCCGATCTCCTGTCTGTTCGTCAAAGGAAGGTAAAGAGGAACGAGATCATGTGGCATCAATGCAACAAGAGACACGTCTGTTCCAGAACTTTGCTCTGGTGATTCTGTCCACACTCGAGAACTTGGCCAACCAGACATCGTTATCAACAGGCACCCCAATCCTCACTCCAATAACACGGTGGCTACGGAAAAAATGAACGCCGTTCGCTGCGACAGGAATGTTCTCGTTGCTACGCTAGAGCCCGCTACATTACCAGAGCCTGAGGGCAACACGCCATTTACGCCACGGCAATCTGACACCTTACGTTTAACCGGGG